AACACACTGCAAAGTGTATCAACCGCTTGTGTTAACGTTCCTGTTGCCACTTGTCGTTTCCTTGCCAATACAACTGAATGTTCTTGCAGGAAAAAGGGTAAGTCATGTTTCCCACGGAGGAATTAGATATCCAAAGATATTAAAAAATATAAAGGGGACTGAGTCCAGAAATATACCCAATGTCAGTAATCAAAGCTGAACAACACAGAGAGATGGCTGAGCAAGGTTTGGAGGATGCAAAAAGGTACGAGTAGCGATTGCTAGCGATTGATCTTCATCTCACAGCTCTTGGCTTTTCTCTCTCATGAGTGATACAAAATGACAACTCTATTTTAAAGTAAAGGAAGAATTTTGACATAAGCCTGGAAAATGGGGATGCTCACGACACTTAATTTTCTTTGTGACAGACAGGATTGATCCAAAGCTCCCTGACATCCGCAGAACGTTCCCAGACCATACCTCCTCCAGGCTGCGAGTATTCATTACAGGGCGATTCATCCTGAGGTCTCTTGTAATGCTTCAGAAGGGTCACGATGGCATCATGGCCTAAGACAGAAAGAGAAAATAAGGGATTTACAAGTAAACGCAATAGTATTTTTTTTTCTAATTGGTTTATACAAAACCAGGGGATTTTTAAAAAAAATGTACAATGTGCCTATAAGCATGTAAACAAAGATAAATGGATGTGGACATCAAAAACATTTTCAGGAATAAAGCTTTTTTTTTTAATTATTTGTGTGGAGTCAAAAACAGGACAGAAAACTGACACGTTGCTGTACATCTAGGACAGTGAAACAGGAACCATGGAAAATGCCTTGCTTTGATCCACACTTGCAAGAATTTAAGATTATGGACTGATTCATAGCTCCTTGTAATGCCTCCTTCAGTAATAAAATTAAAACCTTTCATGCACGTGCCAGGAGAAGAATCGGCTTTTCTGAACAGGCTGTATGTGTTCTATCTTAGCAGCACATGCACACTCCTGTCCTTGAGTTAGTGTTGCATTTAGCTGATGTTCAATGGAGCATCTGAGAAGATAAAGAGAAGGGCTGTTTCTTCTAACCCTTCATGCTGGGAACTGGAAAGCAGACGGCGAGAGCTCAGTCCGCAGGGACCGAGGGGTTATTTTGTGCTGTCCTCTCCCCCTGGGCTGTTCTTATGGATTTTGCAGCAGAAACCAGAAAATTGAACTACCTTTCTCATACGCCCACATCAAGCAGGTCTGCTCATCCTTTTCTCCGCTGGACCTGCTGGGATCACAAGCTACCAGGTTCATATCAGCTCCGTTATCCAGCAAAAACTGAACAAGTCGAATGTGGCCATGGTAGCAGGCACAGTGCAATCCTGGAACATCGGAGGAGAACAGTAAGCACAATGGTCAGAACATTGCGGTAGGACCTGCAGCAACAACCGCAAAACACAAATTGATTTCCTTGATAAAGGAATATATTATCAAAAAAATACCTGAGGCAATAGGTGAAAATAAAATAATGTGGCAAGAACCAATCTATTGTCTACTACACAACATGTCAGCATTTACTCTAACACCTGCAAATCACATTTAACAGCTTTGTGCGTGAGGAAAAGCAAGCAGAGACAAAGAAGGATCTTTTCTTCGTAGGAGGGACATGGAGGTGTGCAGCCCTGCAGACACTACGTCCTATATGCCTGGTCGTTAACAGAATAATAATTGGCCCCAATTCTTAAAACTGCTTAGAAGCATAACTATGGGACAATCAGATTACATCAGGTTTTGTTACTAATACACAAGCTAACGAGCCTGACACATCCTCACTGAACTCTAATAACTGCTATGCCTGCCTGCAAACATATCTCAAAAAAAGCTGGTGTGTATCTGAAAGGTAACTGGATGCTGATCATGGAATTATCACAGGAATTACCCTGGAAATCCCGACTGTGTGTATGGCTTCCAGATTTTTTAGTGCTGGTACATTCACTCCTACACACCAAGGATGGTGGTGTTACCTGTATGTCCGTCTCTTCCCTGGTGATTGATGCTCACAACATTCTGGTCAAGAAGAAATTTTACAAGTTCTATGTTCTTTCCATAGGTGCAAGCACTGAAAAAAAAAGAAAAAAAGAAGAAAGAAAGGAAAAGTGAATGTTATAGTCCATAAAAGGACAAATACTTTGGGTAGCCAAAAATTGCACAGAGATAACAATGTAGTAATAGAATAAAGGATCTTTAGAATGTGCAAATGCATGATTAAGCCACCAAAGCATGTTCATTCCTGTCACTTCAGAAATATTCTAATTATCCTTGCATAAGTGAATTTGTCACAGCTATGCAAAGTTAATACGGTCAGTTTTGCAAAGTGCCTCTGAAATAACACTTTACAAACTCACAGCATCGTGACCCAACTGTGTTCTGCCACCTCAGGTCTAATCTAGAACACGGAGACTCCAGCAGGTTTCTAGGCAGAACGAGCACTAAGTTCACCTCCCAAAGGGGCAGAAAGAGAACCCGCTGTTCACGCAGATGCTGACAAACACACCCGTTAAACATCTCACCTGTGGAAAGCCGTCTCACTGAATATATTTTCTTTAGTCAGACTTTCCGTTCCCGAGAGCTGAATTATCTCCTTGACGACTTCGAACTTTCCGTTGTAACAGGCACTGGGGATGAAGTCAGTAAAGAGTCGTTAACGACACCAGCTGTCTCAGTAGCCCCAAACCGGGTAAGGCGGAGCTGCTCCTGCAACTCACAGGTGCAAAGGTGTGTCTCCGTAGATATTCACCACGTGGGGCTGAACTTCGAAGCTGCTCTGGAGCAGGAACTTCACAATTTCATGGTGTCCAAAGCGACAGCAGAAGTGCAAAGGAACGTGATCTTCGTTGTCCTGAGCGTTCACTGCCATTGACCCAGAAAGAGACCAAAGAAAGTGTTTTGTACTTTACACAGTGTGTTCCAGAGATTCAGCAATGCTTTATGTGTTGTGCATATACTTTATGAAACCTCCTGCTAAAATATTTAAGGTCCTATTTCTTTAACATTGCAATGCCTGTGAGCTTTCATATCTGAAAATGTTTAGATGCAGCTTTCTGTGAATGAATCACCAGTTATAAATGACCCTTAGAAAGAACAATTGCTGTCAGCTGTTTGTTTTTTTTTTTACAATTGCCCCGGAAAAAAAAATCTACCAGATTATCAGAATGAATAAAAAATTATGAAGTGATACTTTGCACCCCAAATATCGCTACATTCTACCTTTAGGATATTCTAAAATCTAAAACTGAACTTCCTGACAGAATAAATAATGCAAGTTGGTAGCAATCACATTGACCCAGTAATGGTAAAAAATCTCTAGGAGTGTGGAAGGAGTGAAGAAAGGAAGGAAGGAAGGAAGAAAGAAAGAAAGAGAGAGAAAGAAAGAAAAAGAAAGAAGAAAGAAAGATGGAAAGATGGAAAGAAAGAAAGAAAGAAAGAGAAAGATAGAAAGAAAGAAAAAAAAAAAGAAAGAAAGAAAGAAAGAAAGAAAGAAAGAAAGAAAGAAAGAAAGAAAGAAATCCCATACTAAATAAGTTTGAAAAAATCTCAAGCTAGTTAAGGGACTTTACGTGACAGCAGCTTGTAATGGTGTGCTAGTCTTTGAGATATATTAATGATCTCACAATGAACTTGGAGCTTAAAGGAGTCTGAGCAAAACCTCAGGAAATACGCTTGAAAGACCTTATGTGATTTCTGAAAATACAGAGAATTTACTGTCTT